ACTTTTCTTGGTGGCTTAATAAAAGTGAATAAAATTGTAAGAAAACGTCCCAAGGATTCTAGCAAACCTAAATCATGTGCTTGTATTTATACAATCAGAGTTGATCAAAGTGAAAAAGTAGTGTGCAAGAAAGCATTCTGTTCTCTRTTTGGCATACATAAATCTAGAGTGGAACGGATCATAAAATCAATACAAAATAATATACCAAGTCCAGTAGATAAGCGCGGAAAACATATGAATAGAGGAAATTCTAAAAGTGAGAAAACTATTTTTCAGGTAGACACTCACATTAGAAGTTTTCCTGCTCATGAATCTCATTACAGCCGCAATAAAAATGAATCTGTTCGATACCTATCACCTGATCTTAATATGTATAAAATGTATGAGCTTTACATGTTGAAATATGAAAATGAAAATTGGCAACAAGTACTAGAAAATGAAAATATAAAACCAAATCTTTCCTATGACTTCTATCGAAGATACTTTTTAAYTAATTTTAAACTTTCTTTTGGCTATCCACGTTCTGACACCTGTCAGGTGTGTGATAAGCTTCAAAATTTAATTAAAGTGGAAACCAATGAAGAATTAAAAAATAAACTACAGACTGAAAAACAATTGCACCTCTCTAAAGCTGAAGTATTTTATACTGACTTAAAAGAAAAAACTATAAAATCCAAGGATCCAAACAACAAATGTGAAGTTTTATCATTTGATTTTCAACAAAATATGCCACTACCTCAAATACCAAGTGGAGATGTTTATTATAAACGGCAACTATGGGTATACAATTTTTGTATACATTCAGGGAAAACTGGTAAATCTTTTTTTTATATGTATGACGAAGCTACAGGTCGCAAGGGTCAAAATGAAGTTATAAACTTTATAAATCATTTTTTTTCGAATATAATGGATAAAAGTGTCGAGACGGTATATTTGTTTTCTGACAACTGTAGCGCACAAAATAAAAACTTTGGTCTAACACAATACTTTTACACATTAGCATTAACAAAAAGATTTGGTATAAAAACTATAGTACATCGATATCCACAACCTGGACACAGTTTTTTACCTTGTGACAGAGCTTTTGCATTAATCGAAAAAAATAAAAKAAAATTAGAATATGTTTTTTTACCAGCCACTTACCAAAAACTTGTCAAAGATACATGCAAAAGCTTTAATGTTATAGATATAAAACAAGATATACTACTGAATTATGCAGATCATACAAAACCTTTTTTTAAAAAAACAGTAAAACATTTTTCCATTTTGTCATACCGATTTATGGAGTATACTAAAGATGGTTTGTATGCAAGTATATCKGTTCATTCCACTGCCAAAGAACTTTTCAAATTACATAAACCAAATGCACAGTTAAGTCTACCAGGACCTTCAAGTATTCTGTATAATAGTCCTCTTAAAATAAAAGAAGCTAAATTAAAAGATGTAATGGATTTGGCATCTAAGTATGTCCCACCTGACAATCTCTGGTTCTACAATGATCTCGAATCAAACGATTTACCATATTATGAAGATGACTGATGAATAGTAAAACAAAATTACTGTTTTATCTTATTTATTTTATATTGTTTTTTCTCATGTTAACTATTATTATAAATTGTTTTATTTTATTGTTTTTAAATACCTGTTAATAAAATTAAGGTAACAGTTTNAACCTACTACTATTTTCTCTTGTTTATTTTATATTGTTTTTTCTCATGTTAACTATTATTATAAATTGTTTTATTTTATTGTTTTTAAATACCTGTTAATAAAATTAAGATAACAGTATTATTTTAACAAAAAAAGCAAGTACTTACCTACAGTTKTCTGTTATTTATATTTTATATTGTTTTTTTTTCATGAATACTATTATAACTTGTTTTATAAATACTAATAAAATGAATGAAACATTTTTATTTTAACAAAAAAACCTGTATCTTTTTGTTATTTATTTTTATAGATGTATCAATGTTTAAAACAATGCATTTATTATAATGTATCGTTACCGATAATAACATTTTTAGTGCAACAACCAGACATCTCCAAATTGTTTTTGGTTTTGTGAGTACAGAAATTTTATTTTGACAATTTGGGTGTTGGCATCAATTATAACCCCAAAATTGGATTTCAATTATATTTTTTACAAATTTTTACAATTTTTAGTTATTTTTTAAAACACTATTTTGTCTCTTATGAACATTT